GACCTTCCCTGCTGAACCCCGTTGCATTTAGTGTTTGCGGTTGTTAGGTATGCCCAATGTCATTAGATTTACCTGAATTTGTGAGGCACTGTCTTGATATGTCTACTATTTACTGTTTTTGCCACTTTACGGAATTGCGAGTAGTGTGTTTTCGGACGTCAGTATTTGTTCACACAACGGAGATCCCTAAAGAAATACCCTCCCGAGAGGAGAGGGTATCCGTAAAGTGCTCGGATAGTGCTGTTGTGGATCTTCGAATGTTGTAATCTTGCTTGATAGACTGTTGTTCTTGTGCAAACTTGCCGAAATAATTTGTGTATACGCAACCTATTCTCAGCCAATGGTTTCGAAAATTCAGCAGTGTCCCTCCCATCTGACTTGTTCCTTTGATGATTGTAGCTGGTCCCGAAAATGCCATGCTTCTTGTTGTACGGCTAGAACTCTAAGTACCAATTGAACTTCTATTTGAGACGGCAAATCTATCATTGGATTTTACTGTATATAGCCTGCAAGGCATTTCGGCAGCTCGCAATCATCCGGGAGCTTGCAGCGGGTGTCCAGACGGCACACTTTCGAAAGGAACTTTCGTTGCCGTCTCCATAACAGAAAGGCTCAAATTGATCGCAAGAGGAGCGGACTTCATAATCGGTAGCTTTAGGTTCACTTGAACTCAGTTGTGCAACAGCATCAACAGTCGCTTCTAGCGCTAAAAGGAAGTCAAATGCCAGCCAGACTGCATCTAAAGATGCAGTGTTTGAAGTACATGGTTTCGGAAAAGCTGAAAAAACCTCATGAGTTATGGGGTCTTTATTCAAACAGGTGACTGCGCCAGTTGACGCGCAAAGTAAATGGGCGTATAGTTAGGCAATGAAAGAGATGACCTTTTACGTTTTGGACAGGCTTTCGTATTATCGTGTCGTATTATGTCGCCAACTATCACCGCCTGAGCCATTGATTTGATTTGATTGGACCCATTTTTCATCCCGCTGCAGATAAATGTGCCCCGGGTTCTCAACAAGCTCTCGAAACTCTGCCGGTGTGTATTTGCTATTCATATCCACTGTCTGTCCTAGATAATGGACTGATGCTGAGTGATTACCCATGTCGATGAGAGCTTCCGATAGCAGCGGAAAAGCACTGAAGCTGCAATGGCTCAATACGGTGGAGGAGGTAGCCAAACTGAGCTCATCGTGTTCCGTTGCCTGTCGGATCAGTGCATACGGTTCCGCGCAAATCATTTGGGTGCATTCTTTCATTATTTCTGTTAGATGAATTCCCACAGTGCGCTCTTAGATAAGGACTTAAATTCAAGTGGCACAGCGAGAAAGGGTATAGCAACGCGGATAGAAATTATCGGTTTATGCCTATTATGGACATGCCTTGGGGGCCTATATTTCGAAAGTACGGGTTGTCTGGCGTGACGGATTAATTAAATGAAGTCAAGGTTCACGTGCGTGTTAAAATACCTGGAGGAACGTGCAAATCACCCTCATGTGCATACTAATGGTGAACGGCCGATGTGCATCTTTTGGTCAGTAGCTGGGCTGTTCATCGGGTTTTAAGTGAAGATGGCTGTGCACTGCGATCAAGTGACACTGTCAGATGTAACGGCTGTCCGTTACCGTTTTACAGGGTCGTGCTTCTCAGTAGTTAACGTATTACCAAAGTGCATTCGACCTTGAAAGCGGTTAAACCTAAATTATTGGTTGATCCATCCGTGCAACTTTCGGTAGTAAATGGTCACTCCCCGTTTTTTTGCATTGCACATGTGCTAGCTGATTTTTTGAGCAAACGATAGCTCGAGTTGAGACGATTGATTCAAGTAACACTTAGCCCGCGGTTGGTATGTACGAGGAAAGAAAGGAAAGGAAGAACGTCCTAATTGGAGTGACGAGGCCAAAGTAGGTTTCGAACGGGGGTCAAGCAATACACATGCCCGTTTACTTGCGAGATGGTCACACTGCTGATCAGATGCTCGTGACCGAACGGTTTAGTCCTCTACAGTTAGCTGGGACGCCAAAGGTTTGATTCTCTTTGAAGGTCCATTGCCCATTGCTGATAGTTCCCAACAAGTATAAGACAGCTGTACGGTGATTCTTAGTTTTTCGACATAGATTGATGTCATCTGTAGGACGAAGCCCCAACTGTAATTTCCAAATTTCTCCATATTATCTTCAGAGAAAGCCTGAGACCTATGTTTGAGAAGTGCTTACAATCAAATAAGGTTTTACGGGGGTGTGGTTTCACGGTGCGAGAAATTCATTCTCTACAGGGTACTGGTTGATGCTTGATGCACTGAATATACGTAGGAACCGACAAACCGAGAATATTATTCACTGTGGTTCATCCATTAGGAAATCCCAGTGACAACTAGTCAGAGTGGTTCCTCCTGGAATGACCTGACATTCCGGGAGACCGACCAAAGTCCTGAATGGTGGTTGAGTTAAATATTTACTTTTCAGGAAATCTTATGTAAGTTTGTTTCAGGACGGTCAGATCCCTGAAAATGACTCCAGAATGCCCGAAGCCTGCTGAGACCATAAAACTTTACCAAAATATCTGTAGAGGAGCTGACAAGCATCCAGGCCATTCATTCAATTATCCGACAAATCAACTCAGCAACAGCCTGGATCGATGAAATTTGAAATTCAAATAGCGCGAGGTCTCTTGTAGCGGTTGTACTCGCCTGCAGCACAACCAGATACCCGTTTCCTAGTCACCTCGTTACTGACACCCTGACGCAGATGTCTGCTCATGTAAAGCCATGAATCGTTCAACTAGGGGTTATTGAACGCCACACAAGTTCACCACGCTACATACATTTAATTAGAGGCATGTAGAAGAAGCCTGAATAGGCACTCGCAAAAGCTGTTGCAATTACTCGGATAAAACCAGAATCAATGACTTGTAGGTGGATGCGGGTTCTCTGTAAATTTACTTCACAGCGCTAACATTTGAACAGTCCTCCTGTCCTGGTGCAATCATTGCGGTGAGTCTACAACAAAGTGGGACAGTACTGGACTTGGTTTTGCTACAATGAGAGCTCATCAGCCTATATTCTTGTCTGTACCGAGATTTGGACCCCAAACACATTTACGAGGTGAGCGTATTACCACTACTCCACCGGCGCACTATAGATCCTCCCGAGTTATCACATCCGAATAGGAGAACGTGCGTCTGGACAGTGTGAGTAGTTTGTCTAACGCATCAAACGACAATCAAGTAGCTGTCTGGTCGCTCCCTGGTCGACTCAGCTGTCAGTATCCTTAATACAGGTCTATGAATAAGTCACCTTCTACAAGTAAGCACATTTGTCAAGGAGGCACTTCCGTAACACATAGAGGTATTTCGCCGGGAGGAGGGTGCCATAGCAGGTCTTCCGACAGCGTTTCCAGAGGGACAAAAAACGAATTCCGGAGCACCCAACTTCCGGCGTACAAAGACTGGTAAGTTGATCGTGCCTTTAGCTTTGTACACTGGTTTATTCGTATTGCACAATCAATATAAATGGACAAATGATGTCCTCAGTTTTTGTTTCATTCTGTGTACTTCAATCCGTGAAAGTAACTGGATAACAAAGGAGCTTTGTACAGGTGCCTCACAGTCTACCTGAAAAAATACTAGCAAAATGCCGTCTCTCATCGCTATCCGAACCGAATCAGTGACGCTAATTCAATGCTGGTTATATTTCTGGGCGGCGAAACTCTTTAAGGACCCTGTTTTGCCAACTTTTGAATTTGAGCTGAGTAGTGGTGATGAAGCCGTCACTCTTATCTTTCTCGCCACCGTTTCTGTCGTTTATCTCTGAACCACCCAGCTTATTTGTAGGTTAATTTCAATAAGTGGGGCTAATATTCTTCTCTCTTATTTACAGGGACTGTTTACGATTTTGGCCTGGTCGATTCCTCGCAAAGGATTATGAACGCACACGTTCCAACCAATGCATTTCCGCTGTCCGCGGCAACAATGCTTGCTCCAGCCTTGAGCTGTGCTCTGGGAACAACACCGCTGAGTTTTGGTGACATCCTCACCCATCGGTCCCCAAAAACACAGGGGCTTCATGCAGTGGAATGTCCGAAACCAGCAAAACGTCAGACCCGAAATCCACGGTCCTTGGTTTGCGATGTTCAAATTGTAGATGCGGTACAGCAACGACTGACGCAAGTTCAACAACACCCACTCCTCGCGGACACGTTTCGTTCACCATCTACAGTCTCTGACGCTTTGCCATCACTGCATTCTTGTAACCCTACTTCGCGGGCGGGTGCAAGTTTTTCCTTACATTCTCTCGTAAACTCGTCCTTCAACTATCCGTCAACGACAAGCACCTTCGTGGACGGTGCTAATTGGCGTGATACACCTTGCACGACGCAGTTTCTCCCCACGAATTCCGTTGTGTCCTGCATGTCTCGTTCAGCCAACCCCAACACCAGTACGATTCCGAACTCATCCAGGGGCCTGAAACCTACGTATGATTACCACGCACCATCGCTTGCTTCATCTTTTGTAGACACTTTGCACATCCCACCCAGCACAGTAGTCTGTCGTCCCCTACACTCTTCTCCACCCAGATCTGTTGCTCAGGTCCCGGATCCCTTACCTGCGTCCACCTCCACAATGTTGAACGTGCCGGTAACAGCTCCTGTTGTTTGTCCAAGCTCCGGTTACTTGTCAACGTACACTGTGCCACAACCCCGTGTGTCGTGCAGCTCTCAGCATCTTAGTCCACCGCATCCCATTCAACAGAGTGTCTCTGGAGACCAGACAGTAAGATATTACTTTTTGCTCTACATTTGCAAGGGATATGTCCTCATCTAGAAAGTTCGGTGTGATGACGACAGTCCCATGCCTCCGGACAAGTAGTTGATCGGCCGGTCACTGCGACTTCAGTATATGACTGCTGCGTACCTTATCTGTTATTATCGATTCACTCTTCCTGAAATTTTATGAATAGAAGCGTAGGGAGTGGAAAGATCTTGCGGCTCGCTGAACCGTGAGGCAACTCTGTGTCGGTCCCTAGCTTCCTGCTCCACCCACTATTGGTATATCAAAAGGCACGGTAGTTCAGACCGCTTTTTATGGAGACAGCCATATTTATAGGGTGATCGCGGAATGTTCCACAATATCCTAATCTGCATGAGGGGGCGAGAAGCGTCAAGCCATAGATGCTCGATCCAGATTGGCGGATATTCTGACAAATCCAGACATGCCTTCGTTTAGTCCCTAGTCCGCACGTGACACATCCGTCCGATTGACGTGATGTTCGGTTGTTAAGAACGCCTGGCCTCCGGACAAAAATAGACTAGCGAAATGCTGGTCGAATGACCGCAGTCATTTGGTGGGATATACTAGAAGAAGCTAAGGAAAACTGGGACCACTTCATCTGTACACTTTATCGACTCATTTTGGACTGTTCTATCCATGTAGTAATGTCTGAACGTATAATGAATATCTTCAATGCTGTCCGAGGTGAATAAGCCACATGAAATTAACCAGTATCAAAAGGTTTTTCTGAAATCCCCCTCTGAGTTCAAATCCTCCACTGTTATTGTTCAAGACAGGCAGCGCGATATATCTCTATCTCACTATGTTAATCGGTTATACAAAGCAAGAGTTGTTTGGGTCGACGGTCACCAGTCCACGTCTAAATTAGTATTTCATCGCCTGTCAAGGCATAGGCCAAGGAGCATTTCCTCGGCTCACTGTAATATCTTTGCATATTGCAACCACTTGTGTATGCGCGAGGTCGCGTTCGGAGTGTACGGCTTTCAGGTCGGCTCTTTATAACCAGTTCTTCCTCCGGCGATGACCTCATAGAGATGCACATCTCTTTGCCAACACGGTGGTGTTTTCACATCATTGTCGCGGCGAACAGCATAACTTTATCTCGACCGCCTGCTGACTCTCCGTTAGCCTTTCTCACATAATTAACCGTTGAGGAGCGAGTGGAGCGAGTGTGTGGCCAGTGTACATCACTGAAGGCCGACCACCACGTCAAGGTGGCAGCTTTAGGTCGGGCTCTCTAGGTACACGCAAAACGCGCACACCTCGCGTAGACTTCGAAAAGCTCTTGAACCCAGAAATCAAGCAAACCTATCGGAACCGGCTCCTCCACCACATGTGTGTTGGTCTAATTTTGGATGACAACAATCACTAAGATAGATGTCGAAGACTTTGCTCAGTGCTGCGATTTCCGTATGGGTACAACTTACCAACATCATTCAAGCATTGTATATCTGATAGGACCGTTGCTTTGCTGAACGTCCAGCGACAGACTCCTGGTCGCACCCACAACTCAACCTCGCTCATCGTCCGACGCTAATTGAAACTGTGTCTGTGCAGCCTGGGAAGCCTGGTGGGTCCGAAAGCCTGATAAAACGGAAGAAGCGAAAATTGCCTGAACTCTTCAGATTCTCCGATTTGATTCGTTCAACAGGTTGTCGGAAGCCTCTTGTGAGTGAAGTTACTAAGGATGACTGGCTGTCGGATATCCAACAAAGAGGTACGTTTGGTCTGTTTGGCAGAATCTGGCTGGCCACGTACTACTTCCAATCCGTACTTTCAGTCTTTGACAAACATAGGCTATGGACACGATGCCCTCTTCAGGACCAGTACTTTAGTGTATTTCTATTTTTGAAGCTTATTGTACCCGTGGTCACGGTGAACTTAATAATAATAGTAATAAGGATAATAATCGTTCAGCTGTAGTGCCCTTTCGACGCCTAGCTGCCATGCAACCCGAGGGAAGCACGAGGGCTGGGATACTGTCAAGTTGCCCAAGCCTAGACAGGGGAAGTCGAGAGGCAGAGGTCCTGTTCGAATCACGAACTTTCCGGTCAGTAAATTCGCGCGCTAACCACTTGAGCCATCTCGCCTCCACGATGAACTTTCACCTGCTGCGCTCGCGAACGACAGTGTCTTTCTCGGCTAGTGTCTGTCTGGCCCATTTGCGTCTAATCAGGAGAAAGTCCCAAATAACTGAGCTGAGTGAGCTATTGTTGTTNCAACACGGTGGTGTTTTCACATCATTGTCGCGGCGAACAGCATAACTTTATCTCGACCGCCTGCTGACTCTCCGTTAGCCTTTCTCACATAATTAACCGTTGAGGAGCGAGTGGAGCGAGTGTGTGGCCAGTGTACATCACTGAAGGCCGACCACCACGACCAGGTGGCGTGTGTCATATATATATATATATATATATATATATATATATATAATGATCAGCATGACGTTATTGTCGTTCCCCAGTAGGGAAACGCCAGTTAGCGTTCTAAATCCAACACTACTGAGGAATGAATGTCATGCGTGCCGGTCTTTGAAAGTACTTCTTATTACATCTTGAGTCCAAGATTAATCGACCCCCAATTTAATTATCCGATGAGCTCAGACATCATGCTATTGCGTTAAGATATCAAGTGACCGGGACATATCTAAACACTCATGGTTGAGGATGGTTAATTCACTGTAAAAGATATCCTTTTGTCTACTTATGTTTGGTTGGTCTGTAGGCAGAAGAGTTAAACAACGAACAGCTGATATTTTCGTTAGTTCAGTTTTTTTATGGAAGATAACAGGCTTTTGTCCAATACGACCGTTTGCGAGCATTCAAACAAGTAGGAACGACCAAGCTCGGGAACTGAACCACTGCGGGCGCAACTCATTGCAGCAGCTGCACAGTCGCTCGACGTTCGTTTTCAATACAGTCCAGATCACGAAGCCTCCTCAAGCTTGACTACTTTAAGTAGATTTGGCATTACTTTGCGGAGGCACAACAAGCACCTACCGATAAATCATTTAGAGCACATATCAGAGGAGCTTATTTCTTGACTAGCACAATAAATTTTACAGGAAAGACGCGGGCGAGGTCTTAAAGGTGGAGGACAAATGGTGAGCGTTGGCAATGGCGTTAGACTGGGACGTATCCAGTTGCAATCCACAGAAGGTCGAACGTCAAATGGAGAAATATTGTAATAAAGATGTGAGGCGTCAACAATAGCCTAATTTTGCCTTCCTGCCCCATCGCATTTAATATACAAGAAGTCTCCGTGTGACGGACTGTGTGGTGTGAAATTATTTGTATTCATTAAGTCTGGTTGTATGTGGTTTAATTTACTGTTTGGTCACCGAAACTTAGACGATAGGTCGATTAGAACCTTAAACTGAAACCTCAGTTGAAAAGCTTGTCCCTGAGCAGCATTGGTTAGCGTAAAACTTCCAGAGTGATGCATTTTTCCATGGAGGAAGTCCAACCCTCAACTTACAGGGCGAAGAGGCTACCTTAGTCAGATCTACATAACTAACTACGATGACAGATCCTGTGAGTGCGATACGGGCGCCTTTATAGCCTTGACTAGTTAAGTGGGATGTGCGGCGCACGCATTAATGTGATTACTAAGCCTGATCGACACCACATGCACCTATACGCACTCACTCCACACACTTGTCTGCTCCCTCAGATCTTACTGGATCTGTCGCGCCTCTAAATAAGGGCAGCCGTCACGCATTGAATATTCTGTTTTGGGCATCTTTTACTGAACACAGCAACAGACACAGACACAATCAGGCTCGCATTTCGGGCGGTTGCGTCTACATACACAGGGCCATAGCTATACTCGTGTGTTGAAATAAATTCTTCTAGACGTAGTGCGAAGTGGGCTTGCCGAACCCAGTACGTTTATGTTATGATCCTTTCGAACTAGGACCAGCCACAGAGTGCAACACATTTGTTCCCTGCTGCAGCCAATGAATGACCTCTTGTAAATATTCGATTATTGTGAAACATTACCTAGTCACCCACTCCATATCCGTGTACGCAGTTATCATAGGTCAGTCACCTGCCTTTTCCTTTCGACATGAATAGAGGACTTGGTGCAGTCGTAGTAGAGTACGACATCCGCGGTCTATGGCGTTGGCAGCACACAGACAGCCGATGGCGTTATTTTATTTCGAAACACGCTGCAACAGGATCCGAAGTGTGAGCGTAGGCGTACTGCGTCAGCTACTATTGTAGCCTGCTATGTTGGAGCAACAAGCAGCCTGAATTAGACCTGGAAACGTCAACCCCAGAACGTGTGTCAGTTCAATACTTGGGACACGCTATGCAGTATTCTTTACTCAAATTTAAAAATTTTACCTCTAAAAGAGTTGTGCGATTTTGTCATGACTGAGTGGATCGAGATGTTTGAATTCACTTGTTCTCCACAGTGTGAGGATTTTACCCGCCAGTCTTAGTTGGCCCGATAGTTTAGAACAGTTCTTTTTTGGGATTGACGTCAGTGTTTTGGGCGATTGTTGTTGCGTAAAATTTCGCTTTTTCGGAAACTCAGTAGTTTGTGAATGCCTGCTGACTAATGACAAAAATAATATTGGTTCCGAGTGGTTTGCCACGGGAACTTTCCAAAAAAGTGCATTCTCGAAGCGCATGCTGCCTTACACCCGTCCAACTTGATTTCACACCAAAAATTGAGCCACTTTCGATCACAGCTAGACTGTCACAGTCAGATGGCAAGCTCACTTTCGGTAGTCTCGTCATCAGTGAGTAGCATGTATCCACGATCTTTGTGTATTATATCGCCTTCCCTGCTGTCAGTACCAAGCATCTCTTGCCTTTGCAGTTTCACTGAGGTGATAATTAAACTCCACGTTTCGTCTGCAGCCATCGTCTCTACGGACAGCACAAGGTTCCGAGGTTAAAGCTGACCCACGATGATGGCGGTTTGTTTGCGTTCCACCTGGACCAAATATCTAGTCCGGCGCCATCATCTGATGCATGTTGTCAGTGTCCGTTTACTCATTAGTTAATCCGGACGGTGACTTGTTAATCTGGTGAATTCAAGAAAGTCATTTCGTTATGGCGTGATAGAATGCATGTTTTGAACTCACGCAGAAAAAGGCAATCTATCGTAGTGTTTCCCCGCACCTATCTTTCAGCTTTTCGCTTCGCAGGCTCTTTTAGCCCCCTTTTCTGTGGAAAACTTCACATCAACGTATTGATAAGGTAGTATGACGTATGACAGCGACGGGGGCGAGATGGCCCAAGTGGCTAGAGCACGAATTTACTGACCGGAAGGTCCGTGGTTCGAATCCAACCTCTGCCCCTCTACTTCTGTCTAGGCTTGGGCAACCTGGCAGTATTCCAGCCCTCGTGCTTCCTTCGGGTGGCATGGCAGCTAGGCACCGGAAGGGTGCTACAGCTGAACGCTTTCTTTTCATACAATAATACAAGAGAGAGGGAGGACGCGTAAAATTAGCAGAACTTTCTGGAAACACCTCTTATGCTTTGGTCGGCATGCTGGGGCTTCGCCGCCTTTTACAGTGAAAAATGACGCCCGGGATTGGTGTCGCACCCGTCAAAGACCTCTAATCTGTTGGGATTATAATGAGGCGTCTTAAGTACTAGGTTACTTTTTGGAGCATTCATTCAACCGAAAAAAACTCACAGTAAAGTTTAAACTCCTCTACGTACGGGGACCACCTGACCATAAGTGACCCTTCTTGTGGAGCAGTTTCTCTTCAGAAGCGTGCATTCGTAACTTGCCTTCAGAATGATATTGCATTCGGTAATGAAGATATTACAGGAAGGTTAGTGGATTCCAGCTGAATGGAGAGGGAGGCGTAGCTGTTCACCTTGGCTAATTTCTATATATGCTAATCCTGTATAGTATTTGTGACTGGTTTTTGACTTATTTGTATAAAATGAGACCATCCCTTTTGCACTTAAAATTTTTCCTCCGTCCCTGTAATAACTAGGCAGTATGTTATTCGTTCATGCTCGACGATGAGTGGTAGCATTTTGCAATTTATTCTGTTCAGATGGATAGGAAACCCTCTCAGTGCGAGGTCATTATGCATTCGGTCCTCATGTCTCATATTCCTCTCGGCCGCAAGACTAGCCTAATTTCCACCTAGTTGGACATCGTTCGTGTCAGTTGTTCAGTTACTTAACTGTTAATTATCGTAACCTTTTCCTTTCCTGATTCTGTTAACTTCTCTTCAATAATTCTGCAGATCAAACCATCAAAAGAACCCCTTCCTTGTATAAACATGCGGCACGCGAATGTTCTGCGCTACCCCAAGTACACCAACCGGAAAAATTCGGGATTCGATCGACGGCTAAAGTGAGTATGACCTACCACCAATAAGTGACTATATTCCCACCCTCTGTTCTGCTCGATTCTATACCTCCGTTTCCTATGGAACATGAGATCACCAACCGATTGCGATAGATTCAACAGTAAAATTCCAAACGATAGCCGTCCCAGCTATGGTAACCGTTTTCGACGGGTTTTCTGAAATTCACGCCATGAACTTCAGGAAGTGGATTTCCAACTTTCCGATAGAACTCGTATTTTCCTTAACACTTGCCACTCTCAGTGATAAATTTTGTTTGGTGTTAGGTTACCGATGCATTCGTGCCCAACTGTTTGGAGAAGCTACTATCGATTGGTCCCATAAACAAGTCCTTTAGAGGCCGTTTCACTGCATCGGACTTTGATATCGGTTCTCTGGAAGAAAACAACTTAAGAGTTGTGTCGTAGTTCGATTGAAATGTTTCTCCCTGAATTTCCGCAGAAGATTTATAGTCAAAGAAAACTGTGTTACATCGGGAAAACCCAAACCTGAACACAAACACCTGGCTGAATTGAATCAGTGCGCATTACGTTGGCACTTGAGGGTAGAGTTTGCAAGGGTTTTGGAAAACGGAGATTGGCAGACATCCCCCTAGATGGGCTTTCCTAGGCGAAGACGTGTGAAACGTAGGGTTACGTTATACAATGGGTTGAAGAGGCGGGCGTCACTGTCCAGAGATAGGCGGAGGGCCGGAAGAGGCTGACACTAATAAACCTATCTCATTGTGCCACTGGCAAAATAGAGTAAGAGGAGGAATATCCTGATGTCGAGAGTTTTTGCGGTATGTCGAGCAGTGAAATGTGTAATTTTATTCTGAGTCTCAGTGCAGTCGAATGTGAGATGAGTGTCCCCACCTCTATAATGACACCAGCGTTCAGGAGTGGGGGAAACTGAGGAGTTGAGCATAATTCCATTATTCCTGTTCCTTCAATGTCAATGTTTTAAAGATCCGTGGTTCGAATCCGATCTCAGCATCCTGACTTCCCCTGTTTCTGGTTGGGCAACTTGGCAGTATCCCAACCCTCATGCTTCCTTCGGTTGGCATGGCAGCTAGGGGGCTACAGTTGAACATTAGTCAATGGCTCATCTATTGACAAAGAACATTTTGAGTGGCTGTTTGCCTTCTGGCTCATACATCCCCATAGCATCGAAATGTGTCTGTTACCTCGGTTGTCTGACTCCCAGTATATTCGCAGGAAGCAGGAGCAACAATGCCCAGTGCACCAGTGGTTTAGAACTTAAGTCCCAAGTGGTTCAGATCTAGTCAGATGGTGCAGTGACAGGTTAATGTGCTACTCAGTTCTGCAATCCATCTCACTGATAGCTTTACTGTCACCATCCACTCGACCTCCACAGAAACCAAATAGGCTGCCCGGTTGTATTGTTTTGTGCTCTCTGTTCACTTGTTGGAATGACGTACATGATCTATCCGGGCACTATAAATCGTATGTCTTCCTAGGTGCTGTGCGATTCCGTCGTAGTCATCTTATCTAATGTTCATTAACCAATCTTGTCTTTCCTCTACTCCTGTTCTTTTGCAATGTGTACAATTACAAGAAAGCGTATTATTTTTGGTCGTTCTATCGGTGTTCTGTAAAACAGGACTGGCTATCGATGAATTGAAATCAGTGCGGTTGAACAAACAGTTTATCGTAATTCTTTCAAAACATAATCATACTGAACCGAACGTGGACAACTCATTCTTGAAAAGAATACGTTCACAGTGTCACTGGAATTATGGAACACTGAGTTCTGTTAGGTCAGCACATTCATGAACTTGACGAAAATCGAAGTTACAAGACGTGAATTGCTTCCCCAAGTTACGAACACAAAACTCTTGCGCATGAATGACATCGTAACAACGGGAAGGAGACAGCGCAAACACATTCCGCTTTCAGAAGAAGGTGGGAGTTCACCGGTTTCTAGATGTATTGATGTAGCAAATCAACTTTGCATATCTGTTGGAACGGCATGTCCGTACCAATACGGATTTTGCAGAAGCACACAGTTTCTGTTTCCGACTGCGTAAAATTATAAGAAGGACAAACCAGAAATCTACCTTGCGAGCGATGGCATCCTGTTGTGTTTGACCGCCTATCATGTCGCTTTTTAAGTTCCGTTGAAACTGACTTAGAAACTGTTTAGTGGTGTTTTAAAAATACCTCAGTCATTTGTACTAACGTAAATGCCACTACAACTGCAAGCAAGCTTATGATTGTCACACGAGGCGGAGTGATCAGTCAAACTAGTTTGCAACGTGATCCCTTTGGTTACAGGGACTAACCACAGTTTAGCTGCTTTATACGAGTGGGCTTACTTTTCTGTTTGATTTGTTTGACGCATCGTTGTTCGTGAATCCTGGCTACGCAATGTTCTCTTTTCTGTTGCTAATGACGAACTGGCTAGATACTGTGCTAGCTAAATCGTGCACAATAAATTCCTGGATAGTTACGGCTATTAGTTTCTACCAGCAACTCTCCTCCCTCGGTAGTCAACTTGTTGCACAAATAATTCTGTCTCAGCGAAACATCTTTTTCACTAAACCTGCAAGGGACGTTGGTTTTTTTAGCCATTATTAGATTGCACGGTATGCTATACTGATTCTCAGTATAGTTGGTTACGATTGTCACTGATTGCACGACCACCAGTTTTATGAATATTTATCGGGTATCACTCATCCCTACCATACGTGGGGGAATACACATTTTCTAGCCCATTTCTTTGGTTCAGAGTTGGACAGTAGATCACTGATCATAACTCGTTTGGTGTAGGACACTATCTCCTCCGACTGAGGCAGTCGGTTGTAGTTACCGAGCTGCACCGACTATCAATGCTGCAGGTGCACGCAATATACTTAAGGTTGCCCACCAACTAAAAGTAACCGTGTCCTAACAAGGCACTAAAGGGATAGTGTTAGACATCTCGGAACGTGAAGAAGGCGTTTCTTTCATATGTTTAATCGTCTGTCGTGCTGTCTTCAATTTACAAAACTAATTATCTCGGCTTTTGTGCTCCCGAGATAGCGAATATCGCCTTCGCACTACCTTTTCTTGTCGTCTCTGCCACACCGTCTGGTACCATACATTAATCGCTAATTGGTCGGAACACCGATTGATTGGGCTTGACATAAGACTGTCATATACACGCTGCTACCATATGCTGCCTGTATAGCACTTTTAAGCTGCATACGGCCTTCACAGACAAGTACACTCGACTCATCGGACGATCCACCCAGGCGCAGACGTCCGGCTAGTGATTGCGTGCGCATATTTCATCGGGTAATGAATAAAGTATGTACATAATGTATATTATACACTATATTGGTAAAACAATGCAAACAATATAGGTAACTGGCTGACATCTTCCTCAAAGAATGCTCTCTGTCGCTCACAAAAGTTGCTCATTCGGTTTACGCTGCATACTATTTAGGTGTCACGCGCGCGATCATGTTTATTCTCAAAGGCACGCCTGTTTGGAGTTCCGACAATGGCCTTGTGCCTCGTGCGTTTTTCGTCTCGCTATTCCAGGGTTGTTTCGTTTGTGACTAGCCTACCTGTCTACCTATCCACATCCAAATGCGGAGGCGGACACAAGACAAATGTATCACACGCAAACTTTTTTTTGGCTTTCCGTAGATGTGGCTTGCGATGTTATGGCCAACAGATACTCACAAACGTCTGGTCTTGACTTTTCATCAGAATGTCAAGGTTATTTTTGTCCACTTCGACACTCAATTATAGTTTTGTTTCGCAGTATCGGGATGTTGTACGCTACCACTCTGTGTGTGATACGGTTATTTATTTCATTTTTAACAACACAGCTGCTGAGCTCAAACTTTTACATGTTTGTTTGTGCCATGGAAAGATGTATAATTGAAATTATAAGTTATGTACAGCATACAACACAGTGTCGTACAGCTTCAGTGCAACGTATGAACCTAGTTCGCATGACTTGACCTTCAAAAGTCTACCTATTCCAGTAATAGCGGGTAACTTGACCCATCCATATGTGTAGAAGCATGCGAGAAAATGTTTATCCTCAATAAAACTGCTTCAGGACGTGATGCTTTTACAACCTTAGCTCGCTCAGGTAATCGAAGCAAAGTCTTTATCCCCACTGGGTTACTGCAACTCCCTCCCACTCCAAATTTACGTAGCGTTCGTTCTATTCCATCTCACAGACCACCAGCCGCTTGTGTAGCAAATGTGTCTGTAATGCGTGTAACGAGACACTTATTTTGATGTGTATTGGACGTGAATCGGCATATTCCTCGTTGCGAGGGGAATTCATGCATTGGACGTACCTCCAGTTATTTTTACTTGGATATAGTGGTGCTCTTTCAAACCAAATTTACTAGTCTAGAAACAGTCTCTTGGGTGAGGCCAAGGTGACCAAACTTGCTTACGTGAAAAGTACACTTCTTTGCGCAGTGAACCTTCGCGGCTTCAATGCACATACTAGTTACTTCTGGGGACTAATCATAGTGATCCTTTTTAGGACATTTTCGTTCACCGCACTATATACTCAGATACCCACACTGAGCTAATGCAAAATCCAATATACGTATAGTGTAAAGTGAAGTAGAACCCTGGACGGTGAACGGTTACTTCTGTAATCATAGTGATCCTTTTTAGGACATTTTCGTTCACCGCACTATATACTCAGATACCCACACTGAGCTAATGCAAAATCAAATCCACGTATAGTGTAAAGTGAAGTAGAACCCTGGACGGTGAACGTGGAACCACCTACGGCCTTGGAGGTTTACGACTGCATACGTTCTCTCAAGCGCCACCGAGCTCCTGGTCCGGATGACCTCCCACCCGCACTGTTCAAAGACGGCGGTGAAGTCCTCAGTCAGCGCTTGTCCGATCTGTTTGCTTGCATTTGGGAAAAGGACTCTATCCCAGACAACTGGGGAGAATCGGTGATAGTGCCCATTTTAAAAAAAGGGGCGCGTAGTGAGTGTGGTAACCACAGGGGGATC